TAAATGATTTTATTAAATGTTCTTAACCTTTTTTATCAAGTAATGTTCTACATATTTTACTTGAACTTTACGTATTCTAACATATTTTAATTATGGTTGGTCATCAAATTTTTGTTTTACTCAGTATCTTAATTTTTGACTATATTTCTCTCTAGCTAAATGTCAGGGTATTTTAAGGACAACTTGAGCTTTTTTTATGTTACCCTTTAGACCCAAGTTGGCTTTCTACTTAGCCCAGGGGCGCTTGTGGGGAACTGGCACCATAATCAGGGACTCCGTGGAGGGGCAGGAGGCAGCAGTGGTGGCAAGCAGGGAGGGGGCAGCAGCGCAGGGGCGGCAGTGGGACCCTCGGCCCCAGGGTGTTTGTGGGGAAGCAGCGCCAGCATCAGAGCCTCTGTGCAAGTGCAAGGGGTGGCAATAGGGTGGGGCAGCAGCGCATTGCAGCATCAGGACCCTTGGCCCCGGGGTGATTGTGGGAAAGTGGTGCCAGGATCAGTGCCTCCATGTAGGCCCAGTGGGTGGCGGCAGTAGCAAGTGGGGAGGGGGCAGCAGTGCAGGAGTGGCACTGGGACCCTCAGCCCAGGGGCGCTTGCAGGGAACTGGCACCGGGATCAGGGACTCTGTGTAGGTGCAGGGGGTGGTGGCAGCAGGCGGGGAGTGGGTGGCAGCGTGGGGGTGGCATTGGTACCCTTGGCCCAGAGGCACTTGCGGGGAAGCGGTGCTGGAATTGGGGCCTACATGGAGGCGCAGGGGGGTGCCCCCGTGTTGCCATCCCCTCCACGCCTGCTGCTGCTGCCCCCTGGGTCTCTGATTCCTGAACCCATGGGCTGTTGGTGGCATTGGAGGAGAAGGAAGAGGGAAAGGATTGCACTCTCCATGACCTTTGGAATGCACACTGTGTTGAGAACACCAATCCTTTGGGAGGCTGATGGTGGATTCATGGATCGGGTCCTACTGTCCCACCCACCCCTTCTGCGCAAAGTATCAGCTGCCCTGGGCGCAAAGGCGAGCAGCTCCCGAGCGGGCAGGCTCCTCCCCCTCTGAATAACTCTCTTTCACACACTAATGCAAGCAAACTCCTGGGCCTTTACACTGTATTCTTTTCCTCTTTTGGCACATGTAACGCACATGTTGGCACAGCGGGCAACTCTCCTGCAGCACCTCCACCAGGGAGGAAGAGTGGGTCGACATCGAAAAACGCCTCCCCTCCGACACCAGAGTAACTATTGCCCACCTGGGATGCGGTGTACTTCTTGTACCTGCCCATGTCACATCTCTACAGGTAAAAAATTGGCTCTTGCTAGGCAGAAGTTTCAACCCCCCACCCTGTTCCTTTGGGCGGGGCATCTCCAAGTGCCCCAGGGCCAAGGGTCCCGATGCCGCCCCCACTCTGCCACACCTTACACTTCCACAGAGGCCTTGATCCTGGCTCCACTTCCTTGCAAGCACACCTGGGCCAAGGGTCCTGATGCCGCCACCTCGCTACTGCTCCCTCCCCACCTGCCACCACCCCGAGCCTCCACAGAGGTATGCTGTCCCGCTCACTCACACACACACGTTAACCGTGGTTTAGTTGGTTTATTAATATTCCCCAGTGACTGGCTTCCTTGATAGGCTGATGATTGGATGGTCTCACCTGCTTCAAATGATATATCCAGGAAGGAAGGGAGAGCCATTTGAGGCCCAAAAAGCTTTTTTATGGAAGCCGGCTTGGCATAAAAGGAAGGCCAGAGTTAGATGTTTAAAAAAAATGGTTTTCTTTGTTTGATATCTAATGGAAGAGCTTTAAACTTTATGTAATGAGCTAAGGAGACTTTAAAAGATATTATTGGATTTAGTAGTTAGATTTATACCTATAAGGGAAATAAATTAGTTATTTAAATAATTGTTTTGAATTATAAATAGAAGATGGATTCAGAGGATAAAGGTTATTTTATGAGTAAGCGATGATATTAAAATCAGAATTAGAATATGATGGTGAAATAAATTAAGAATTTATTGAAATAAACAATAAGTGTACCTTAGAGATGATACTATTTTGTATGAATTAAGGGAACCGTGGGCTATCCGAAATCTAAACATTATTGGACAGTAAGCCAACTCAAATACTCTAATTGAAACCAGACAAAAGTTAAAAACAGGATTTGGAGATATATAACCTAAAAGCTGTTTATAAATGTTTTAAATGATTGAGTTATAACTAGCAACCTACCAATTTCAATTTGTTATAATGATTAAGGGAAACAGAGGAAATTTTTGATGTTGTAAACTGATATATGTATGGATAAGCGTGTTATTGGATTATGTATTACCCAACCACCATGTTGCTTCCTTAAATACCTGAAGGTTTGTAAAAATGGAAAATTAATAAAACTTGTTATATATAAAAAAAATATTCCCTTCACCAAAACCCCAGAACTGTCCCAATTAAGGCCAGCCACAAGCAGACCAATGCTAGTTCACAGAGCAATTGCCAATGAGGCCACAAGGCACTTGAAAGTTTCCCAATCAAAATAAACCCACCAGGCAAAATTAAATCCACAATACAAGAGGGTTCATGAGGCAAGAAAAGTCGAGAGTTAACAAGGGATGATCTAAGTCAAGGCAGTGTCAATCCAAAGATAGGCAGGAATCACAACGACCAGAAAACACACAGCTAGGAAATGAACACATTGTTCCCAACATCGCCTCCATCTGTCTGCTGTGCTAAATAGCCAGCTTCTGGTGCAGCCCATCAAGAAGGGTGAGGCTGCCTCATCACGAGTAATCAGGCTGACCTCCACTGCTCCTGCCTTTTCTCTGCCCTATGTGTTCTTGGATCAGGTGCAGAAGGCAGTTCCTCTTCTTCATTCCTGACTGGGTGCAGCTGCATGCTTTCCCCATCTGATGCCTCAGGGCTGTCCTGCTGCAGCTGTGCTTCAGCCAAATCACTCTCAAATGGCTGCTGGAGCCATTGACCAACTTCCCTCCTGACGTGCCAGGAACTGGTTCATCCTCCCCAGAGCTGACCTCTGAAGACCTCTCTCTGTTTGCTCCAGCACGCTACAGGCATTGCTATTTGTCCCATGCAGGAAATTGACCATGGAGATTTGTTCCACGGTGCATCGCTCACTAGGCAGTGTTGGAAGACCGGCAGGGGAATAGTGGCAGCAGAGGAGCACCGGTGGAGGGGCAGCAGTGGACAAATGCCTGTGGTGGGTCATAGGTGGCAGGGGGGGCAGGGTGAACTGGGCACAGCCATTGTCCTAGACACTCTGGGGGATACCTGGTTGTTTACCTCTAACACTAGATTAGTACAATGAAAGTATACAAAGACCTTTAAAAATGTATGCTTCAAAAATTTAATTCCACCCTTTCATAACATGGTATCCTCAAGATATCTTAGAATTGCAACTTTCAGAATTCTGTCTTGCCTATTAGGTGTAAATTCTGGAAACTGCAGTTCTTGGATGGCATAAGATTGTGACTGTTGAATGATTTTTCAAGAATAGCTCATTTGAACACAAAAATATAGCAATTACCGTTATTTAATAGTCCATTAACTTACCTACTGCAGGTGCATCGTATTCATCTCCAAGTAGAATTTCAGGGGCAGAATATGCAAGAGAGCCACAACTTGTTGTGAGTTTTTTTCCAGGCTGAAATTTGTTGCTAAATCCAAAATCAGTTAATTTCACAAGTCCTGGTTTTTCAAAAAAGACAACGTTTTCGGGTTTTAAGTCTCTGTGAACGACATGCAGTTTATGGCAATAGGATATAGCATGAACAATCTGAGCAAAATACTTCTTTGCCAGATCTTCATTAAGACCTTCTTCATGTTTCATGATGTAATCAAACATATCTCCTCCATCACCAAGTTCTAAGATCAGATAAAGTTTGGTCTGGGTGTCAATAACTTCATACAGGCGAACTATATTAGGATGTTGCACTAGTTTCATGCATCTGACTTCTTGAAAAAGATGTCCTGTGGCAAGAGTATCTAGCTTGGTCTTGTCAATTACTTTAACTGCCACTTTTTCACCTGTAAATACATGTCGGGCAAGCTTCACCACAGCAAAATGCCCTCTGCCTAAGGTTTTATCCAAATCATACAATCCAGCAATTTTTCCATCATAACCTCGTTTAAAACCTGCCATATTCTCCAAGTAGTAATGCTGACACTTTCTGAAACTTGTGTCTTTTCATATAAGGTTTTCTGAAATAGATGCACAACTCATCTTCAACGCCAAATGCATCTAAAAGATCAGAAATGAAATTATTATAGAACATATATTTAGAAAAACATTTCTGCTTTTTTAAAAGTTGAACTTTGGTTAGGAAAGAACTCAATATAAAAGGATTTTCTTGAAAGAAAGTTGAATAATTCATTTAGATCTGTCACCTCTAGATATTCCAGATACATAGACAAGCTTTGTCTAACACTCCAAGTAGTGAATTCATTAATCAAATTATGCAGTTTAAATAAAAGAAAATAAAGGGAAAAAAGAAAGCTAATTCCACAAAAAAATGATTGCTGTTTCCTGAACTTAAAAACATATACTAAGAAATCTGATGAAACTGCTGAAAATATTGCCAAATATTCGTAAATGATAGAGAAATTTCAAAATGATTATCTGTATATCTGACATACTTTCTAATGGATGTAGATAATTTTATACTTGTCTATTTATTTTATATTAGAATACTCTTATATGGGGAGAGAGTATAGGGAGAGAGTAACAAAGAAGCATAATAGAAATGAACTCCTGAACATCCAAGAAAATAACAATAGTCTGTACTTTCTGCTTATTTCCATATAATATTTTCACCATATGCAATTTTCTCCAGTCCCCAAACAGTTGTATATGTACTCCTATATAAGTATATATATATATATAAAGAGACAGACCACAAAAACCTATGCCACAATATATTAGCTACTATGAACATACCATACATACATTCTTTGCTTTTCTAACTATTCTAGCCCTCCCGATTTTTAAAAACTCTGTTTTTCTCAATAATAAAGGAAACTATCAAAATAAACTATTTAATGACCTGGTTCCTTTCTGATCAGTCAAACTATTTAGCAGACATTGGTATATGCACACTTAGGGATTCAAAAAGTAGGCCAAGTCATTACAATATATAAACCATGGAAGGGATTGGTCAAGACATTATTTTGTTACAAACAACTTGTGTGCACTTCTAAATCCTAGAATTAAAAAGCATGTTTTTATTCACAGCCATTAAAGGATGAATTCATAATATAAAAAGTATGAAATTTACACAAGTTCTAGGGTAGTCCCATGTAGAGCGCATTGCAGTAGTCCTGGCATGAGATGACCAGGGCTTGAATGACTGACCACAAGGACTCCCGATCTAGGAAAGGCCAAAATTGGCGCACAACATGAAGATGTACAAAGTGTCTCCTAGCCACGACTGTCACCTGCTCATCAAGCAGGAGTTGAGAGCCCAGGAGAACCCCCAAATTGGGGTAGTGCAACCCCATCCAGAACTAAAGTAGTTAAAATCCTGGATCTTGAAGCTCCATGCACCCAAAGCTATTTGGTCTACCGAGGGTTCAGCTGAAGCCTGTTGTCCCCCATCCAGACCCCCACAGCCTCCAGGCACTGTGAGAGGGCAGCAAAAGCATCACTTGGATCACCAGGGGTGGAGAGATATAAAGTTGAGTATCATCAGCAAGGCTTCCGGTTTGTGATTTTGGCACTGGCGGACGTGCGGGGTGATCGCTCCCTCTGCCATCCGGTTTTCTCCCGCCGGGGGACCCTGAAAAGGGTCGGAAGTCGCCCTGGAGGGGCGACGAGTGTGAAGAGGACTCCTGAGCAATTGTGGAAGGGCGGCAGCCCTCCCGTTTGATCCTGGGCAACTCTTTGAACTGACGGGAAAAAGATCGGCCATTAACATGGCCCATCACTAAGCCGCTACCAGCTGAGGCCAAAATTACTAACAAGCACTTCGAAAGCACCGCAGAGGAATTGTGTGAGATCTTACCTTCTTTGTACCCTAAGTATCTTCCTGTCAAAAGCTTCTTAATTGCTTCCCCCTGTGAGGAGAGAGGGAACGTTCTCCCACCCTCTAAAATGGCGGCGTTTGTCTACCTCCGGGACATAAAGCCTTGAAAAGAACAACTAAATAATTGGATTTGCATCTATTTGATATTCAGGGACCCAAAAAGTACCTACTTTCACGGGGATTTGCTACTCTATCTACTAGTTAAAAAGATGAAAAAGAACTCAAATTGGACAAAAACCTAGCTTGGGAGGACATCTTGTGGCAAAACCTGGTACAGCAAGTGAATATTCTTGATCAGCATGATGCCTCAACCTCTGGTGGTGAATGATCTCACATAGCAGCTTCATGCAGATGTTAAAAAGGAGTGGAGAGAGTACCGAGCCCTGTGGCATGCCATAAAGAAGCGGCCATGGGCAGGACCCCTCACTCCTTATCAACACTGATTGGGACTGGCCTTTGAGACAGGAGCCAAACCAGTACAAAGCTACACTGCCCAGCCCCAAACCCCACAGCCAGCCCAAAATGATACTATGGTTGATGGCAGGGTGTACAGTATAATAATTGATGGTTTTTTAAAAAAATAAAAAAAAATGGATTTTTATTTGAATCAGATTTTTTTTATTTTTATCAATTTTAATAAAATGCTTTTGGAGTAAAAATCTATCTAAATATAGTTTTCTATTTAAGATACATTAATAATTTAGTTTATTCAGCATGAAATGGAGCTTAGTTATGTAGCATGAGGCTGTATATTCTGCAATATTTACATTTTGGTAAACTCATTCAATGAATCCAAACTTTGCAAGCTGAGATAACATCCACTGCATTGATGCATTCACACAATTTCACAGTAACCATGAGATAAATCGTAAAACAAAGTTCAGGAATATTCTTTTATCCCATTGTTTTGCAAATCTGTGTATAGTACAAACTGTATGATTGTTTGAAGAAAAATGCATCTGTACCAGGCTCTAAGTGTTTTAATTAAATAAAAGAATTTGAGTAGTTCTCCAACTATCGTGTTTCCCCCAAAGAAAGACCCGGTCTTATATTATTTTTGCCTCCAAAAGAGGCATTAGGTCTTATTTTGGGGGGATGTCTTATATTTTTTGTGACACCTGCCTCGCCTCGTGATGGCGGCACCAACAGCCCCGTCCAGCAGGCGCCTGCATGGCTGCTGGCCCACTTCTGCTGTGGCCGCTCGTGGCAGGTCACGCAGCACATCGCGCTGCTGCCACGAGGTGAGGCAGGTGGGGGAGGGGGTGGACCTGCCCCACACGCCCCCGCACCCGCTTACAGCAGTGAGGTGGGACTGAGGGGGCAGGGTCCTAACTAGGACTTATTTTTGGGGTAGGGCTTATATTTGGGGTAGGTCTAATTTTCGGGGAAACATGGTGTGATTAACCTATTAACCTAAAATCGGTTCTGATATCACTGTTTTACTAACCTGACAGCTTATTATTCTAAATAGGAAACCTTCATTTTGTTTGCAAATACTATTAAAGATTCTAACTACCAGCAAGAATGAGTCCTTACATTTAAAGAGCACCTGTCATTTCAGATCCATCATGGCAGCACCTGTTAGCGGGCATCCACTCACCTGCTGCCCGCCATGTCCCTCACCTTGTTGTGTCACTGCCGCATCACCAGCCATCCCATTAAAGTGAATGGGACTGTCAGTGAGTCAACAGCGGGTCAGAGGAGGAGCCGCTGCGAGACAGAGATGAAAATTGTCTAGGCAGGTGGGATTAAGTGATGGTTTTTTTAAGGAGGGGGCAAATTAGGCCCTCCTTAAAAGGCCCTGGGAATGTCCCATCCTATAGTGAGTTTATCACTGCCTGAACCCACCTACTACCGTGTTCCCCCAAAAGTAAGACCTAACCTGAAAATAAGCCCTATCTTGATTTTTGGGGGTGGGCCTAATATAAGCCCTACCCCCAAAATAATGGTTTTGGGGTGAGGCACACGCCTAAAAATCAAGCTAGGGCGGGGGTTAGGGGGTGGAGCTGCCCCCCGCCCCCACTTACCTTACCGGTAGGACTGCCACAGCCAGGCCTCCCATGCCCCGACACTTGCCACACCACTGCTTGACTTCTGTGGCCGCTTGCCACTTGTGGCTGGACACGTGCCACAGCTCGCGGCAGGAAGCAGCATGGTGCTTCACACCTGTGCCACTGCTGGCAGCAGGAAGCCACACAGCGCTTTGGGCCTTTGCCGCCACTCACGGCAGGTCACTGCACAGCGCTTCGGGCAATTGCCACCACTTACGGCAGGAAGCCGCATGGTGCTTCATGCCCGTGCAGCTGTGTAGGGTCATGCCGCTCGTGGTGGCAATGGCCGGAAGCACCGTGTGGCTTCCTGCCACCAGCGGCTGCACAGGCGTGAAGCACCATGCGGCCTCCTGCCGTGAGCAGCAGCAATGGCCTGAAGCACCGTGTGGCCTTGTGCCGTGAGCTGCAGCATAGGCGTGAAGCACCATGCGGCTTCCTGCCACGAGCAGCAGCAATGGCCCAAAGCACCGTGTACCTTCCTGCTGCCAGCGGCGGCACGTGGCATCTGGCCACAAGTGGCAGCAAGCGGCTGCTGAAGAAGTCAAGCAGCGGCGCGACAGGTGTCAGGGCATGGGAGGCCTGGCTGCGGCAGTCGTAAGGTAAGACCTACCCGGAAAATAAGACCTAGTGCTTTTGGAGGCAAAAAAAAAGACCAGGTCTTATTTTCGGGGAAACATGGTAGTCAGTCTTGGAGGCTTTCACCAACCAGGTGGGACAATGATCTAATTAACAGGAGGTTGCACTGACAGCATCAAGGACCCCATCCACTTCATCAGGTCCAACAGGATTGAACTGTTTCCAGATTACTGGGCAAGACCTTTCCCCAGGAATCTCAGATGGATCTGCACAACGCAGGGGTTCCAACTGGGAACAAATCTGAGTGACTTTATCCATCAGGTGTTGAACAAATTCCACTGTGCAGCCCTGAAGGTGATCATCTGATCCCTCATCCCAGAAGGGACCTGGTAACCAGGAACAGGGCCATGGGGCAACACTCTGCAAACGCAATAAGGGCGGGGGGAAAGTGCTGTTTCACTGCTCTTACTGCAACAAGGTAAGCCTTGATAGCAGCTCTAAGACATGTCCGGTCAGAGTCATCCTTCGTTTTCCTCCAGCAGT